CTTTGAATGCGAAGCGTGCGACCTTCGACCCCCTGGGCGCACCTCCACCCCCACAAGCACGCACAACGTCGGAATTGTTGTGCTCGACACGACCGAAATTTTATTGATCAAACCGAATCAGACGAAACGAAACGGAACGAAACGCGCCCTGAAAAAAAGCACGCACGTACACACCAAAAAGAAGACACAAAAAAACACATAATACATACCGACTCAACCACCACGGCCGCCGCCGTTGGTGGTGGTGGTGGTGGTGGTACCAGAGGGGTTGGAAAAAAACGCGTTCATATTTTCATGTGTGGCACGTAAGTACAAAAATAACAATCTTCTTCTTCTTCTTCTTCTTTTGTAGGCATATTGCCTGTTCCTACTTCAGACAGGGTTTAGGTGGTCGCTCCATCTCTTTCGGGGTCTTCCCAGGGATCGCTTTCCCCTTGGCGATTTGTCCCTGGCTATTCGGACTATTCTGGTTTCGTCCATCCGTTCTATGTGTTCGTTCCACTCGATTTTGCGTCTTTTGCACCATTGTGTTATGTCTTCTATGTTGTTGCACGCTCTTCTGATGTCTTCGTTCTTTATCCGGTCGAGCAGTGTTTTGCCATCTATGTTTCTTAGTGTCCTCATTTCCGCGGTGGTGAGCAATCTCTGTGTGGTTGTCGTCTCTGCACGCGTTTCTGCCGAGTATGTAAATATGGGCCTGACTACTGCCTTGTAGATGGAAACTTTCGTCTCTGTTCTTAGATGTTTGTTGTCCCAAATCGTGTTCCTTAGGCATCCTGCTATTCTCAGGCCCTTTTCAACTTGCTCTGCTACTTCTTTTTCCACTCCTCCACTGCTGGATATGTTTATACCAAGATATCGGAACTCGCTCACTTGTTGTACGATTTGTCCATCGACTTCAAGTTTGCATCTTATTGGATGTGGTGCGATGACCATGCATTTGGTTTTTTCTGTTGCTATCTCCATGTTGAGGGCTTTGCTGGCAATGTTAAACTGGTGAATCATGCGTTGTAGGTTGTCTTCGCTATCGGAAATTAGCACGGCATCGTCCGCGTAGCACACAACTTTCAGCTCTTTCCCCCCCATCTGGTATCCTTTACAGCGTCGGACTCTTGCAATTATCTCTTCCATGATGAAGTTGAATAGCAGGGGGCTTAGGGAATCGCCTTGTCTTACCCCTGTTCCTACTTTTATGGGGTCTGTGCGTTGTTCGGCTATTGCTAGTTGCAGTTCGTTGTTGTTGTAGATGTCCCTTATAGTATTGATGATATCAGATGCGATGTTTCTTTTCGGAGTATGCTGGTTATGTCTTGGAGCTGCACTCTGTCAAACGCTTTCCTTAGGTCCACGAAGGAAAGAAAAGCCGGTTTGTTCCACTCCACGGCTTTTTCCTTCACCTGTCTTATTATGAATATTGCGTCGTTACAGGACCTTCCTTTCCTGAAGCCCTGTTGTTCGTCTGATAGTGTGGTGTGTGCTAATATCTTGTTCGCTAGTAATCGAGTTGTTAGTTTCAGGGTGGTGTTTAGCAGAGCTATTCCTCGATAGTTGGATGGTTCTTGCTTATCTCCTTTCTTAAACATCATTATTAGTGTGCTCAATTTCCATTCAGTTGGTACTCTCTGATGCTTCAGGATGATGTTGATAAGTTTCGTAATTTCGGCCGCGAGCACTTCTTCGCCGTATTTCAGGAGGTCATTGGGTATTCCGTCCGGGCCACTGGCTTTTCTGTTTCTGAGTTTAGCGAGTTCTGTTTCCACCTCAGATATGCTTACTATGGTTGGTTCATCAGGTTGTATGTTGACTGAGATATTAGGTTTCTCCTGGTTTGTGTCCCGGTATAGATGTTTGATGTAGTTTATCCAGGTCTCTTTGTCTATTCCCTTTGCTTGTACCAGTTCTGTGAGCTCTTTTCTCTGGTTTCTTATGGTCTTCCATACTGTCTTTTGGGTTCCATAGAAGTCATGTTCTAGTTGTTTTGAGAAGATCCTCCAGTGTTCGGATTTCGTCTTCCGTACTAACTCGTGCGTTTCTCTGCGGATTTGTTTGTAACTTTCGTATGATTCTTGCGTTCTTTGCGTGAGGTGTTGAATGTGTGCCTGCTTTTTTTCCTTGCATTTCATTTTGATTTCCTCGGTGAACCATGGAGTTCTCTTAGCAAAAGGATTCGGTTTCTTGATGATCTTCCTGCCTAGCGCTTCTTCGGCAGCCTGTTGTATGTTGCTTTTCAGCCTTTCCCATGCCGTATCAACGTTATCTCCTTCTTGTATGTTGTTGTTTGTAACTTTCTCCTTCAGTCTGTTAGCATATAGTTCTCTGGTTGTTTGGTCAGCTAGTCCTTCTGTTTTATTTTTGTGCGCTCTTCGCATGTTTTTGCTTGTTTCTTTTGGAGGGATATTAGTCTCAGCTTCCCAATCACGAGGGCATGATCGCTTCCTATGTCTGCCGAGGTTAAGCTTCTTACATCTAATATGCTGGTTGGTGGAATTACTCGGTTTGTCACAATGAAGTCGATTGTTGATGTGTGTCCCCTTGAGTTACAATACGTGTGTTTGTGTTGTTGTTTGTGTTCGTAATATGTGTTATTTATTCGTAGTTCGTTGATTGTGCATAGGTTAGTCATCAGCGTTCCATTTTCGTTTTCTGTTTCCTCGTTGAATCTCTGCTTAACTCCGGGTATGATTCTGTTGCCAATCCTTGAGTTAAAGTCTCCTAGGATGATAGTCGCTTCGTTCTTATGGCTGTCTAAAACATGTTGCAGTGAGTTAAAGAATTCTTCTCTTACGTCTTGGGGTCTGCAGTTTTCTGGAGCGTAAATACTTATAATGTTGGTGCGTTTCCTGTCTAGCAGCAGTTTTGCGTGTATTATTCTGGCTGAAACGTACGTGATGTCTATAATGTGATCTACTAACTTTTTGTGAAACATGATTGCGACTCCTTTTTTTTGCTCGCTCGTTCCTCTCTACACCGCTGTATGCTAGTAGATAATCTCCAACTACTGCCTGACCTTTTCCCTTTTTCTTAGTTTCTTGAAGTGCGCAGATATCAATGTGGTGGTTTCTTAATTCTTGCTCCATTTCTTGGTCTCTTCTGTTGAGCGATTTTATGTTCCATGTGGCGATTTTAAGGTTATGTTTTTGTAATCTTCTCTTTGTCCGTGTACTTTGCTTGGGTTGTCGTCGTTGATCTGTCCGTAACCGAGGCCCTTGTCTGGTTCTATGAGCACTGATGTTTTTTACGTAGGGTAGGTCGCTGGCCTCACCCTACAACCCTCCTTCTTTGTCCGGGCTTGGGACCGGCGTCGGTGTGTGATGCAGCGACGGCGAAGTTGTTTATCATAATATTAGAAAATTATTTTGAGAAATATTTTAGTTTAAAAATTACAAGAAAAATTGTGCAAAATTTGTTATTTTTTGGAAACTTAATTTTAATTGTATATAACTTTTTATGTAGTATCTAAAAATAAATTTTATTTATTTGGTAAGATAGAGGATTTAAGTAGGAACGCATTTATGCAAAAATATTTGATTAAACATAATTGGTTCTTAAGTAATTTGAGTAATAATTGCATGAATTAAATTATTATTATTGCGTAGTATAGTCTTAATTAAATTCGAAGTTTTTGCTTCATATCTTTTGATTTATTTCACTTTTTTCAAACGTTTATTCGAAATTGATGTAAAATTAAATTCTAAACATTATTATGTCAAAATTTTATTGAAAAGTCTTTTTAATTAAAAGTTTCAAGACAATTAGTGTCATATTTCAAAATTTGTCGTATATCAACTTTAATTGTTAATAACTTTGAATATAACAAACAAAAAGTTACAATTCTTTCAAAAATTGGTAAAGAATTTATTTAAGAATATATTCCTGAAGAAATAACAACAATATCTCTAAAAGTTTTTAAGTTATTAACAAAAAACTAAAACAAATGCATTTTTCACTCTTTTAACTTGTAAGTTTACCACAACTATAATATACTCGTACTCATACTTTTCGACTCCAACGAAAAATGTCGAAATTGCGAAACGAAATTAAAAGTTCAATGTCAAGTGAAGGAACCACACAAATCTCTGTGAATGTACGAAGTAAGCACACTCGAAAATGACGTTATATAACATTTGGTCATAGCTTGAATAATTTGAATATTATTCTTATTACTATCCGCGATTCGAGTATGTGCAAATGCTATGCATAAATTTCGGACGCTCCTTTTTATTTATATTTATAGTTTTCGTTTTTTTTGCTTCCTAGTGTGAAGTTCCTTTGCTGCAATGATATTTTTACTGTTAGTTTCTCGAGATGATGCACAGAATTTTTTCTGAGAAGTATAGGATGATGTGTTATTTAATTTCTTCGGGTTTAGTGATTTTTTATTCTTTGAAGAGTAATAACTTTTAAAGTAAAGGTGATAAATCAATGATTTTTACTGGGTGTGATAGGGAATTAAAGGTAGATATTTCATGTGGAGATGTTTATGAAGTATTTTATTTATTTATTATGATTTTTGTTGTTTAAAAAAGGAAGAATAAGATTTAAGAAATGATTTTTGTTGTTAAAGTATATTTGGGTATAACTGATAATATTATAACTCAATTGTTATGAATTTAGCGCTATTTGATAGAAAATTTATTCTAGTTTATGAAGATATTAAATTTTATTCAAAAATTGTTTAAACAATTTGCTTAATTCGCAAATTTATGACAAAAGTCAAGAAAACTTCTTTTTCTTACTTGATATTTAAGTCGTAACTTTGAGTAAATATTACTATTAAACTAATTGTTCAATTTTCATAATTTAAACATATTATGATAGATAATTTTATCTACTTTTAGAAAAGTGTAAGTTATACTAAAAAGTAATTAGTATAGTATGAAATAATTAACATTTTCTTCATAAAACACAATTTTTCATAAATATTTTCATGTTTTTCATGTTTTACTTCATTTTTTGTTAAATTATCTAACTGTAACTAATAATATTATTATTTTTTTCAGCAATGTAACCAACACAACAAAGACGACTACCCCAACTGGTCCAGAAACACAATGTCCAGCATCAACAAACAAGGCTACGAGGCGAAAATGAACGAACATCAAGGACAAATGCAAAAAGGTAAGCAAAACACCACAACTCTATACAATAAATAACAAATATTAATAATATCCAAATTCGCAATTCGTGCATAAATAAAATAATTATCCATTCACGTCATTCAATATTCATCAAATCTATTATTGCTTCATTAAGCTGTTTGCCACAATCGAATAAAACATATGTTAAAATTGAATAGGCAAATAGTAGGTAGATATAATATTCGTTTTACTTTTGATTGATTTCAATTGACTCGTTGGCTATTGATTCGTAAACTTGATTTGACTTTGACTTTGATGCGATGTGCAAAAATGAATTCAATAAATAATATAATCAGCAGAAGGACGCGGCGCGCTCGGTTTCAAACTGGAAGTAGAAATAATTTTGAAGTTTCGCTTAAAATTTGAAGCCAAATAAAAGTTGATCAGCGTGGAGGATGGAATATAGAGTTGGTTGATTTAGTAGCTCGCCTTGATAATAGCCATCATCTACTACTAACCAATATCAAAGTTTAAATAAATAAACTAAGTGTTATAAGTTTGGCAAAAATACGTAATTGTTGTTTGAAGCGTTGTAACTTCCGTAATTTTAAGGTTAGAAATTTGAGGAGAATATTTTTTGATAGGGAATTTAATGGAGAATATAACCTCAAAATATTAAATTAGTGTCTTTTGTAGTTTTTGTGTAATTGATGTTAGAGTACGACTCTGTACTTTAGTAACACTTGTGAAAAAAATGTTTAAATCGCGATAACTCCTGAACAAAAAGTGATAGAAATCTAAATTTTGTTTTAAATGATAGATAATAATATAAACTATTAGATACGTTAATAAAAAAATAATTTTATTTAATAGATTATTCTAAAAATAACCAAAAACATTTTTTTTTTAATTTTTCTTGAAATTTCATACGAAACACTCTGTATTAATTAAAATCATGCACTCAACCACACACACACACACATCATTACCTCTCAACAATTTGATGTGGATCTAACAAGGAAGTCGATTTTTGGCACCGCTAGCCGCAACTTAACTGCTTGTTGCTGCTTGCTGGCTTGCTTCTTGGGACTTTGTGTGGTGGGCGACCTTGTCTTTTCGTCGGCGTCGCGATTTATCCATGTATTCACTACATACATACAAGTACGCTTACTTGAACGAGTAGTATAATAAATGAGAGGCTGTGTAAGTGTGAGTGCGTTGTTGTTTTTTCGGGCATTTCAAGCTTGAGCACCTTTTCGAGCGGTCGCGCAGCATAATTCGACTCATAAATGCCGCCGCGTGTAATAGATGCAATGTTAATGTTTGGCGGGCGGATACGCAGGCATTAATTAATTACCTACGAGTACGAGTACACCAGGAAGGCAGGCGGCATGCAAACATGTTTTATTTTATTTGCTTATCTATTTATTTTCGGGGATTATGTTTGGTAATGTTGAAGTTTTCGAGGGAATTTTTTGAAAAGTTTTTTGCTTACTTTGCGGCTTTATTGTTGTCAAACTAATTATTGGATTTGTATGAAATAAAATTTATTTGATAGATAATTTTATCTATTTTTAGAAAATTATAAATAATTAGTTAATATTATGGTTGAATATTGCTTAATATCAACTTTTGTAGGACGATACGTTTTGCTGGAAATTTTTGGTGTTTAATTTATGTTTAATTTAATTTTTTATGATTAAACTAATTAACTGATTTTGATCAAAGTAGTGTTAGTCGATAGATTCTTTTTGTTTACTTTTAGAAAAGTATTAGGTATTTTGTAAAATATTGTGATAACAGCGTTAAAATTCAAATTTAGTACAACAAAATCATTTCAGTTACGTTTTTAGATTCTGCGATTTATTCCAACTTTGTTTATTAATAATGTCTAAACAAATTCTTACTTTTCTATAAGTAAATATTCATTTAATAGATAATTTTATCCTCTTTCAGAAAATAATTAATTTGTTTACAAAGTATATCTCAAACGTAAAGTAAAGACGTGTATTGTTTTAATATTTTAAAAGTTATCCTAACTTTGTTTAATTATTGTCATAAAACTATTAAACATATTTCACTCAATTTTTCTGTATTTTATAGATAATTTAATCTACGTTTTAAAAACTTATAGTTTTATCCAAAAATAATATCTTAACAATAATAAAATTCAAAAAATGTTTAGAAAATGAAGTTTCAATATGCCCACGATGAGATAATGGTATTAAACGTCCAATTAAACCTTTAGAGGAATGCAAGTACCTACTTAGAGAGAAAATAAAGTTTGTGGACTCGGAATTGCATGAGTAATATTTGTACGCGTAGTAAAATAAAGCTTAGCAAAGCATATAATTACCATAATAACGCGCATAACTTATTGTGTTTTGCGCGCACCGTTATTACTTGTTTTGTTTACACCTTTGTTGTCGTTTTTTTTTCATGCATTTTTTTCGAAGTTTTAAACTCTTTTTTGTAGAAAACAATGTATACAACTTCAAGGTATTTAAGGTTAAGTAAAGTGTATAAGTAAGGATGAGCATAAAGTATAAGCACTTTGAGTTCAAGGAGGTTGATTTATTACCGTTTATTAAAATAATATTAACTATCGGGGAAGAATTATTATTTTATTTTACATTGAGGGTAAATTGAATGCCAAAGAAATCGTTAAATGGAGAGAATTTTATAGTTTGTAAAAATTTATAGTATTAACTATCATATAGAGTTAATTATAAGGAAATATAATAAATAGTTTTGTTGTTATACTAGATTAAAGTTTAAATAATTTAATTATTTCACTATTTCTTTGGAAAAATGAGATCTGTTAATTTAATTTTAAGTTTGATAATGTAGTGATAAGATAACAAAACTATTACTTTTCTGAAAATATATAAAATTATCTATAACTTATCGCAAATTACACATTAATTTGATAATTAGTTTGGACGTAATTAAGGAGAAAAGTTGATATTAAAAAAAACAAGAAATCATAATTATTCATAGAATTGTGCGATATTTTCGCAAAATAAACAATATTACCTGATGATAAAGTATAACAATTAATACTTTTCTGAAAATAGATAAAATTTTCTCTCAATTAAAACAAAATTTTCAAAAACCCGATGATTACTTTTGTTGCAATAATGAAACAAAGATGAAACTGCTACACAGTAAAACGAATACTCAAATATTTTGTTTTCCTCATTTAAATTCAGTTTTTAATAATGTTCAGAAAATATTTCAGCTTGAAATTTATTATTTAATGAAACTAGATATAATTATCTATCAAACAAAGTAAATTTCACAAAAATCTAACAAATAGAACAAAAGTTATTATAAAACAAACTTGACAGTATCTTAATAATTAAAAGTAACTACAATTTCACACATATTCTTAATTTAACTGAACTAAACATATGTATCACATCTTTAACTCGAAATTAAATATAACATCTGTGAAATTTCATTAACTTGCATTCTAATACAACCAAATTAATCTACTTTTAGAGGAACACAGCAACCAAAAAAAATCGCAACTTGAATAAAACATACATGTGTTACATTTCCTGTTCCCGACTCGCATTAATTAAAAATCACCTCATATCAAACGTAGAAATGAACAACAGTTAATTACTGCACTATGCAAAGTCCAAAAAATGCATTTTAATACATATTTAATAAACCTAGATTTTTATTCTGATATAAATGTTATACTAACTATATGTATAACATGAGCACTCATTAATTAAAACCACATAATTCTTGTTCAATGATTAGGTTGGACTTGGCTGGTCGAAATTATAAAACCTGATATTCTACGTTTGCCGAATCTACCAAATCTTATTTTCTATACATTATTTTCGATGTGTTGGATTAGTTGAGTGTATGTGTGACATTGATTTGTCGTAGACTCCTAGTGCAACCGCCTGCAAATCTTCACATTTCGCAAACGCCACGCAAAAGTTTGTTATTCAAGGCTAAATCTTGGCGAATTTTTTATTCCGCGTTCCTGCCCGCTCACCACACACATGCTCGCATCCACAGTTAATTTTTCGTCCTCTGTGTTCCTCGATATGTTAACTATTATATTAAATATTAAAAATTATATTTATAGTTGGGTCGTCTTTAGTTGTACGAAACGTGATTATTTTTTTGGTCAATAGTTTAGTAATTTGTTGATTACTCGAGAACTAATTAAGGTAGAGTAATCATGTTTTTAGAAATGAGTTAGGCATTAAATTTTACATCAATTAATGGAAAAATGTTGTTGAAAATTATTTGTTTTTAAAGTTATGGACCTTTTTTTGTTCGTTTTGATGATTTTTACTTGATTTGAGTTTATTTGTTAATAACTATTTGTGTAGTAATCAAATGTGTAAAAAGATAAGTTAATTAGACGCAGAATTTCATTTTACATCGATTTTTGAAAGAATTATAAAATTAGCGTGAATAGTTATTAAGTTATTGTCTAATTAAATAATAATTTATCCATTATTTATCGTACTGTTCAAGTATTAGCGGAAAAGTATAGTTTTTTATTAATAACATTAAAACTAATCAAATTATTTAAACAATTTTAATTGGAATATATTAAGGGTTAAATTATTTATTTATTATTGAAAAAATATTACTGATAACAGTTTCTTATCAAAAATTATAGCACAATTTGTATTTAATTTCCAAAAATTTTGCAATTTTGATTTTAAATGTTAATAACTTTTTGTACAATAGTTTAATTAACAAAATTCTTCCAAAATCTGATTTAGAAATTTCTTCTTAATCTATAATTTTAAAAATCACCATTCCAACACTTATACTTTTCGAGTAATTAACAAAAAACCAACTTAACGACCAAATATTTTCACGTTCTTCTTAAACCACTGCGACTATATCACTGTGTTAATATTACTTCTAATACTTTGTCCGAATTTTTTGGTATGTCTTTATACACGCTGGCAAAAACTAGACCTCTGTGTGTAAAAGCAATAATTACTTTATTATCGCACGGCGCGATCATCAAGCGATAATTATTTGATTTGCGCTTTAATGATTGATCCGATCCGCATTAACGGGTTTTGCGTTCGTGGTCTAACTGACGTTCGATGTCGAAATTTCCTAGCAAAAAATATTGAAATATTACGAGCGCAATTATTATTAGTGTTATTATTATATGCGATTGCATACAGGTGGTTTTTATTTTGACTTCTTTATTAGTAGGTAGGTACTAGATATATGACTTAAATTTTATTGGTTATGACTTAATCATCGAATGACTACTTGCAAAGTAATCATATATCTGAATGTTATAAATTATAATATAATAAAATGTTTATATTAGGGTTTCGCTTTGAGTGGATATGCAATCGGTGCAAAAAAGTTAGAGAGTGCAAAGATGAAAGACAACTGAGATTTATCATAATCGTTAAATTTTATGCATGATGTTATTATCATGTAAGTGCAGTTGTTAAATAATAATTAATAATTTTTAGAAGGTTTAGTTTTTTTGTTGGAATTTGCAATGTTTTAGTAATTTTGCATTTAAATCACTTGGGTTGATAATATTTGTAAATAATTTTATATTTTTGGACGCCTAATAAAATTATCTATCAAATGAAACAACTTTGGTTAAAATCTGATTGTTAGTTTAGTAATAATTTAGCAACAAAATTGGATTTATTTAAATTATCTAAAAAACACGAATTTTTTACTAATTTTCATTTTATTGTTGGTTATTGCAAAATATTTCATATTAACTAATACTTCTCTTATAATGGGTAAAATTTTCTATCAAATAAATCTAGTTTGATTAAAATCTGATTGTTAGTTCAATGATAATTAAGCAACAAAGTGGGGTTTATTCTAATTATTTTCAAAAAAAAATCAAAAAATTAATTTTTCACTCTTTTTCAATTTAATGTTAGTTGCGACAAGTTTTTATACATTAACTAATACTTTTCTTATTGCAAATTAAATTATCTATCAAATAAAGCAAGTTTGAACAAAATTGAACAAATAGCTTAGTCATAATATTTAAACAAAGTGAGAGTTACATTAATCCAACATCTAATCGGCCAAAATGTTTTTTCTAGCAAATTTGATTTTATTGCTAATAATATAACAATTCATTTATATTATTCATACTTGAGTGAAATTAGATAAAATGTTCTATCAATCAAAAGTAATTTTAACAAATTTGACACAGTAGTTTGTTAATAATCGTAAAACAAAATTGAACATACTTTCAAAACAATAAAAACCAAACATATTTGAGTACAATAACTTTGATTAACTATTATGACCAAACAAATTAATAAATTATTGCAAATTCAACATAAATAAATAGATAATTTAATTTATTTTAATAAATAATTACTCTTAACGTCAAAATGTCCTCATAAAACACTTAAAAACTAAAATAAACAAAAAATTTTCCACTAAAATTCAAAACTTAATTTTTTTTCTTAAAAACTTGGTTATGTATATCATGTTAAGTGAGGTTAGGACTCACATCCAATGCGTTGTTGTTATGGCCCGACCTGCCTCAACAACGTTCGAGTTTCGGCACGCACGCAGTCACACGCACCGAAACAAGTTTCGCACGCACCGCACCGCAAAACAACAACAAAAAAAAAGCGAAACACACAAAAAAGCGCGCGTCATTATAACACACGCCGAAGAGAGCTAAAGGTCTCGCCTTGATGAATATATGCAAACAAATAATCATACACACGAAAACAATGCACAAAAAAGGTAACGACGCGTCGAAATTGAAGCGAAATTATAGACCATTAAATATGATTAAACTTTTTTCGGGTGTGCATCTTACCTCTCTCCACTCCGCGTATGCAAAATTCACGGATATAATTGAATTATGCGTGTGTGAGCAACATAAAAGTGACACATCATTGTGACTTATTGAAGTTATTTACATAATTAACGTACGTGTAACAAGTTACATCGTTATATTAAACGTAATTTTTAGTTTTAGTTTTATTCTATTTTTGCGTTTATATGTAGTTAGTGATATAAATAAATAAGTATATAATGTGAGTGAGATCGTTAGTTGGTTTTCACGGTCAAGCCGAGCGCCAAAAATTAACAACCGACACTTGGATACTTTGCGCCGAACTAAAACACGAAATTCCGGTTATTCCAAAACGGTTAGCTGCGACGCGGGATTTAGTTTTTGTTGCTTAGATGTTAGGCAAGTTCACATTAGCAACATTAGACTTCCTCTCAAGACAACAAGACAACAACGTAATCATTTTCATCAATAAAATAAAATTAGATTTTTATTTCTTGTTCTTAAGTAATTTTTAGTGAATTTATTTATGTTTGTTAGTTAAAATGCACCAGGAATCTAATTGCTAATTGAATTAATTAACTTGTAATTAACTCGAATGTTGAGTTTAACCTTCGGGTGTTAAATACGCGGTTGCAAATTGTTGTTACTTGTGCAGTTTTAGCGATTCGCTGCGGATCGGTGTCGAAAAATTCGAAAGGTCAAGTTTATATTGGTAGTTGGCACTTTATGGTTGTTAATGTATGTAATTATGTTTATATATCTTCAATTGTTGATAAATAATCTATGGTATTTATAGTTTTATCGGTTTTTAATTATTTATTTTTTTTTCGGATAATTAATGAAAGTGGTTGAATATTGATTGGGTTGGGGTAGGTCTTTGCCAGATTTAATACGAGGAGTGTTTTTATTTAGTTGGGATTATTTATTGATTGAGTTTTTTGATATTTGGGGATTTATTTAGTGGAACTTGAGTGTTGGAAGGCAGATAATATTTTTATTTCGGTTTTTATTAAATAATTAGAACTAATCTAATCAAAAAACTCAATACTGACGTCATAAGCAACATTTAGATGAAAATTGTTTTATTTGGTCGATGATTTTAAGCCTCTTTCGATAAAATAGTTAATATTACAACAAAATTGTCTATAACTTATTAAGAAATTAAAAAAATAAGATTTGGCTTTGTAATTATGAAAAGTTAAATATTTTTGAAGAAAATTGTGTTTTTTGTTTATAATTTAGTCGCAAAAAAAAACTAGGAAAAAGTAATAAATTAAATAAATGTACGAGATAAGAAAATTTGTCTAAATGTCAACACATTACAACAAATTTTATTGTTATTTATTGATCCAAAAAAAAATCATGTTTCTATCACTTTTACTTTCAAAGTTATTGAGATTTTAATCTTTCAACAAAATTTTTCTCATTTTTTTGTTTTATTAAATTTACCAGTGTTATTTTAATATTAACACGTTAAGGACGGCGTGTACCACCGGTGGTACACGCCGTCCCACAGACCAGACGTACACGGCTCATTTGAAACGAGACTTATTCATTTTTGACTACACCACTGGTTAGGTTATATCTTCTCCTCGTTTCACCTATACAATCAGGGCCTTGCATCTTTGTCATCAAATGTGTCACTCAGATTACATATTATAATAAATAGTGACCGACAAAAGTTTCAGTTTTGGCTTCAAATTTGGTTTCGGCCAAAATTGGCTGAAACTTTTGGCAGAACCGAAACTCAGTGTTCGTGAATTATCGTGCGTCGTTCGGCTAACTCGCGGCTAAGTCGTGGTGGTCACTTGCCATCTCAGTTCGCACATAGTTTCGGTCGGACTCTAAAGATAAAGGCATTCATTACAAAGAAAATAAATAAATGGCGACGCAACTGCAAAAACAATCGCTTTTTGATACAGCAATGCATAACCACCAGTGGCGCACAGCTGAATTAATTAGGCGGAGTTGAAAATGCTCAAACGCCGCCCGATGCGACAGACACCCAAAAACCGCGCCGTCCTCAACGTGTTAATATAATCCGCCAACGCTTGGTGAGTGTATAGGTGGTCAACCTTTTCACATTTGACATAACACAAACATTTTATTTCTAATTTTATTTCTTGTTACAATCCGCCTAAACTTCCAAGTACAAATCCACCCACAATGTTAATAACTTAACTTTTATCAGTCGATTCGAATAAATAAATGTCTGGAAGCTAGTACAATACATGTAGAAAGAACAATTAAAAAAAATATGTAATAAAAAATAAAACTAAGCAAACAGTGTTACAAGTTTACAAGGCGTCGTTAGTATTAGTCGAAAAAACAAGCTAAAAAACTGACGTCGAAGAGAAGAAGTAATAAAAGCTAACAAAACAAAAAGTAAGCTACAAAAAAACAAAAGAAAAGAAAAACGCAAACAGTTTAAGAGTGAGTTTAGATTTCGGACCTATCCCAACATAATCGATATTAATTCCTTTACGTTTAAGTCAACATAACCTTATTTTTTATCTAGACTTCTTCAACTTTGAAATAAATTATAATAAACAGGTTTATTTATCAAACTAAATTTTTTTATTAATAATATATTAAATTATCTATCAAATAAATTTTTTTCATAAAAATCGATCAATTAGTTTGCACACAATAAATAAAAAATGTTTTTAAGTAAATTTACTTAACTTTGTTTTTATGTTTTCTTTGTAGGTGGCGTTGGAGTCACTTCAATGGAAGAGCACCACATGAGCACACCCGGTTTGTACACCAGTGGGCGCTCCACATCCAGCAGCTCAAGCCCCGGCGTCGCCGCCTCCAGCCCTGCGCTACTCGTCGTTCCACAGCCGATCAACGCTACCAAAATGGGCGGCATGCAAAACGGCGGAGGGCCACAGCCCAGAAAATATCAATGCAAAATGTGTCCACAGGTAAGTCACCTTATTTTATTTCATAATTCACTAATATTATAAAAAATATGAATTTAAAAAAAAACATCAACATAAGTTGAACGCAACCAGGGTATTTTATATTGCGTAGTTTTATGATTAAGATTAAAGAGAGGGTGTGCGGGGTAAGAGGGCGAGCGACAGGTGGAGGATGCCTGCGGATCATCAGCTGGCGCGCATTATACTCTCTTTTTCTTATTCATGGAGAAATAGAGCGCTAACTTTGTTGTGCGCATGCCTATGTGACTTAAGTTCTTTGCGCGACGCGGTGGAGATTTTTTCTCACGGTTTCGTTCAGAGCAGCCCCGACGTAACACACCCCTCAGCATACTCACACACACAGAGACACATATCAGTGTGTTTATTAAGTGACTTAAGCTGTAAACAACATCTAAGTAAAATATTACTTAAGTTAAGTCACTTAGCTATATTTACATTTAATAATTATATAAAAATAATTTTTATTTATTATTTATGAGTTTTTTAAAAGAATTTTATTTATTTTTAATTTAATGAAAGTGACTTAAGTCAATATTAAAAAGGTAAGAGTGTGAGAAAATCTGTGTCAAATTTAAAAATTTGATACACTCCACTAAAAAGGAAGTAGCACTAGATTTCGTTACACATATTTTTTTATGTCTCAAGAGGGTGGATTTGCGATTTACACCCTTAGACCCACTGCGAGGGTGAAATGCGAACACATAACGTGAACATTAAACCATTTCCTATTTTTTACACTCATCTTTCCCCGCTGAGGATGTTTGATATTATGTTTTAAGAAATTTAAGGGCTGTTTTTTCGCAAAACTCAAAACCAAAAAAAAATACATTTCCGGATATTTTTCCTCCCCAAAACCCAAAACCCCAGAAATCCACACTCATTAAAAACTAAAAATTTAACTCAACTCCCAAAGACACCCAAGGTCATCGGTGTGGTTGGTATTCGTATCAGCGTCGAAGTCGTCTGGTAACACCCCGAAATTACCCCATTTTCCATCGCCGTCGCGCTCACAGCCAGACATTCGTGCGTCCGCGGGCGTGTGTATTGGTGGTGTCGCGACGCGACTCGACGCCGGCGTCGCTCTTTTAACCCCTACAACACTTCCAACCAGTCCAACCCCATCGATTGGCGCGAGAGGGATGAACGCTGAACTTGAAAGCATGAGATAGTCAAGCGATGAACTGAACAAGTGCCGTCTGTGTCTGGAGTTTTGGACCTGAAACCCAGCCAGACGAATTCTCCACCCTCTCGCCTTCTCATATGCGATGGTCTCACTCGGTCGAAAAGCTCGCAGCACTTGTTATTCGTGTTCTTGTGTTTTACTCTTGCTTTTATACGAGCGGCTAAGGGCGAGGGGGTGACTTTTACTCGTTCACTCGGTCGACTCGTCGGTCGATCCGGAACGTCTGGACCCGAATGTCTCGTCTGTGGCGAAATAATCGAGAGTGAAATTTATACACAAACAGAAATCATCCCTTAAATCTAAAAATACTAAATATATTATTAGTAGGTGAATAACTAGTGAAAGTTAATCATAATAAATATGTTTATTGATTTGGTTGGTTGGAGCGTTTAATATTTATGCGTTTTCAATCCGATCGCCAACCAAACGTAACGATTGTAATGAATTTTTATTAATTTCACTTTTTATGCGATTACAAAATATTTATTTCGTATTTAAAATTTAATATATTTGATATTTAAATCATCCCTTATCTTGTCTCTTAATTTCGGGGTTTAATTAACTTAACTTAACAAATACTTGAATAAGAATTTCGATGCGGAGTACTATGAGCACCTGCGTTGTTTGGGGTGGTTCAAAATTTCACTTTCGAACAGATTTTTTCCCATGCTCTCGACGCACGCACATCTGTTTCGTATCGGATCCGCCCGCCGAGACCCTCGAATTGCATCTTGAGAAAGAAAACAAAAAACGCACCCACATCGACGCTGGGGTGAGATAAAGTGATGAACAGAAGGTGTAGAGTGAAGATGAATTATTCGTCTGGCGAGGATTACTCATAATTGGGGTGCGGATGAAAATGAAAGTGGAAAATTTAAACGATGAAATTAATATAAGAAAATAGCACGTTTGGTTGCATACGTTATATTTATTTTATATGTGACGTCACTAACCTAACCTCAAACTCAATCTACTACACAATGTAGTAAATCTCACGCTCAATGCATTAATATATTATATTAATTTCAATTCAATGCAGTGGATTATTTTATACTGTAATGACTCACTTAAATGTGTCTACGTTAAGTCTAGGTCTTAACTGACTTATGTTAAGTTAAGTCAATATGCGTTTGTGACTTTCGCACGCAGATGTTTAAGTCGCTCAAGTTTCGATGCGCGTGCATGCATTGTTTGTGGCTTCTTATTAATGTGCGATATTATTTATTAAAGCGCATTATCTGCGTTTGTGTGTATTAGAAACCGATTGAAACAATTGCGCATAGATTTGCATTTGCATTGGATGTGCGTGTTGCATACTAATGAGTTGATAACTTGAGCAACAATAAATAATATAAATTGAGTCGTAAATACGGCGTAAGTTGGCAACGGATGAAGATAGGTGTTAAGTTATTGCCCATTCTTATTATTACTTTATTTTAGTTATTATTACCGACTTAAGTTGGAGAAAAATATGATTCTTTAAAAGTTTTTATGTTTTTTAAGTTGATTTTATAATTTTAACTTGTTGTAAGTTCGTTTTTATTACTTGTAGAATGTTAAATGAAGTAGTAATGGGCAGAGGAATTAAGGGAGTTGTAAATTTTTCGCGGATTGTTTTTTAAGTTTTGAATTTTGGGTGTAATTTACGTAAAAATGCAAAAAACTGATTTTTTGGTGTTGTAATTGTTTATAACTTCAGAAGGTAACAAATTTTTTGGTTAATTTTTGCTTACATTTATAAATATTAATGAAAACTATATGATATTCAACTATCAAATAAAAAATGGGTCTTATCTACGTTTAATTTGTCGTAATATTGAGAAAAATAGTAAAATGTGCAAATTTTGCCTAAAATTGTGATTTTTTTGGTTATAACTTTTAAACTAAAGGAGATAGACAAGTGATTTAAACTTTTCTTGATTTATTTAACAAAATTCTATATATACAATTATAAACACGCTAAGAATGTATTACAGTTTTTTGAAAAATTGCAAAAAACTGCGTAAATTTTGGTCAAAAAACGCAAAAAATGTTATTTCTTCAAAACTAAAAGCGATAACACAATGATTTATTTTGTAAACAATCATACTCATTTTAAACAATAAGATAGACATCATGAATAAACATAAAACACATCCTACTACCCTTAACCAACCATAAAACTTAAACAAAATAGCAAAAAATGCAAAGTAATCTGACCTAAAATCAGATCACCGAATCTATGACCCATTGAATTTCGACTGAATTGAAGCAAAAATCTATGCCATGTAAACATGACACGATTTCAGATCACTCTCACTCTCACCCATCGCATCCCTCTTCATACACTGTACCAAAACGTACCAGTCCGAAGAGTCTATAAACTATACACACACGTCTCAAAACTTTGAGCCGCGACGCATCGACGCAGACGAACACATCGAACACATGTCAGAAAGTTTTAATTTCCATTCGTCTCCCATGCTCCCTTGCTCTCCCACATTCTCCCGCACATACACATGACGCACATTGCGACCAGAGAACATGTGAAGGATGTGCATGTGACGCACATGATCACAAAACAAATATTTTGTGAGAAAAAAGCTCTCGCTGAGAAACGAGCGGAATTGAAAAGTAAAAGTAAACCTGCAAGTGCTCTTGATCTCCCACACAATGCGGAAAACATGCGCAAACATTTCGAGGGGTAGTTAATTTATTTGACAAGGTGCGAAATGCTACCACAACCGCAAAAAGGGATGTCGTTTATGCCCGGAAAATTAGATCGATAAGTGTGTCCCTCAATACCGATACCCGTTCGATATTTACTCCACATTCAATTATTGCAATTTTATTCCATTGTATTGGTTTTAAAAGAGTCGTAAGTTGTTGTAGGTAAGGGTAGAAGGTGAGGTGCACACTTTTTTTGTACTTTTGTTGGCTTTGTGCACTTTGTTCACTTTGTGCAAGCCAAAGGGGTAAGAAGAAAAGCATAATTTTATCACCACAAATTTAGCATTATAAAGAATTTGTTTATTCACAAAATATCACATAAATTTATGACTTAACTAGATTGTCCAACAGAAAAAAAATCTAATTAGAATTTTTCAAAGTCCATCTGCTTACGAGTAGACAACTGCTGCTTAGCATCCACCAAAAAAAACCTGATAAAAACTTCAAACATCTTGAGAATTGAGCATTAGACTACATAAAAAATCATTGAACTCTTAATGAAAAGGGAAAGGAAATGAATGCAAGATGTGCAACATGTTGCTCCATCAAAAAAAAACACATCCACCTTCTATCCACCTATCACAACCCTTTTTAGTTAAATCACACTCATTATTATTCCCTTGAATAATACTTCTGAGATTTTTTTTATCTGCAGTTGTAAGGTGCACCCTTTTGTATTTTTTGTGGTTAAAGAGTAAAAGTGCAGCTTGTAGCCCTAAAAAATGACCTATATACGCCTCTTGTGTACCCCACAACCCTTTCATTTAATATCTTCTTCAAATACGCACGGAAATTATCAAAAAAATCACTTTCATTTTTTGTTGGTTATTTATTTTTTGGAAGCATGTTACCAACAGAGCGCTGATGCTCACGGTTGTAATTTCCAGTTTTTTCGTCTACCTGCGTTTTCTTTCACCCAGCTTACATAACACTTCGCATTGAGTTGAATAACCAAGGGACCGTGATTTTTTTCTACCTGAGTTGTAGATCTTTGATAGACCTCGATACGCGGACGTGTGTGAGAGTATTATATAAATATAAAATCTCCCATTAAAGAATAGCCATCGCTATGTTGTCCAAGACCATGATC